ATGTTTATTTTCACATATGCTTGCAGTGCAACTACTGACTGAACAAGAGATGAGTGGGAGAGTGGACTCTAGCAGTGTGCCTCTCTCAGTAAAAATCTTTTGGCAGTGTGTCTTTGAAGCAGCCTACTCAGACAGAGGGACAGTCTCTTACTAGTGATAACAGCTAGATCCAAAAAGCAGGTGCAAAATCTCTCCAGCTGCTTGAACAAATCTTAGTTATTAGCTGAGAATGGGGGCGACTTCCTGTCTGTGCTGACTAATGAGCCCTCATAGTGCTGTTCATCCAGAAAACAAGAGTTATCATCGGCGTACCCTTTTGCATTAACCCTTGGAATATTATGATATAATTGCAAAAGTTGTAGCTGCATACACGTTTGGCAAATTCATCCTGGGATTGATTATTAACACATTTTCCATTCCAAACATTGTAATTGAAGTTTGCCATTAATAAGCAGTGAATACTGAGGAAAATGAAGAGGAAGTGCTAGGACTATCTGAGTGCACATAAGCATTAGCAGCTCTTTGGGTTTTTAAGTGCACTTTGAACCATCACGAAGCCACAGATTTAAGAGATCTCATGTAAGACGGGCCCTAAGCGAAGACCTCTTAGTGGAGCTGGCAAAAGCCACGAGCATGAAAGAGTCTAAATCCATCAATCCACTAAAGAAAGACAAAATCCCTGCAGTTATAGACTGAAGTAACAGATAATTCTGGATCATTTAGCTGCTTATTGACTGAGCTCTCCCCCTGGAAGCTGAAAGCAAATACTGGGAACTGGGGGACTGCCCCCATGAATAAACCACCTGCTCCTCTATTGTTACCCTCGTCAGTCTAATTATGTTATAAATAACCAGCATTTTCTGGTGTACTTAGGAGTTATGTGTTATTCACTTTGCATTGACTGTTGTTGCTGTGCCTTGACTGTTGCAGAAAAGCAACAAGCTCATTTAACAAAAATAGACATGCTCAAAAAGAAATGTTGTTTCTTTGTACTGTATCTTTTCCATAAAATACTTAATTATGCCAATAATGAATAAAACATCCTGAAAACAAGATCAATTTACTTGAGAAGGAAAACTGCTTAACAAAATAAGACTTTATTTTCAGAGAACATTAGAATGCACCACCGTTTGAAAGTTTTTTTTTTTTTCAAAATAGTTTCATATTCTTATTCAGCAAAGATGCATTACACCGATCAAAAGTGATGGTAAAGACATTTGTAATATTACAAAGGACTTTTATTTCAGGTAATTAACATGAAAAAAATGTGTCGTGGTTTCCACAAAAATATTAAGCAGCACAACTGTTTTCAACATTGATAACAATAAGAAATGTTTCTCGAGAACCAAATCAGCATATTAGAATAATTTCTGAAGGATGTGACTGAAGACTGCTGAAAGTCAGCGATGTAATCACAGGAATAAATTACATTTCAAATATATGAAAATTAAAAAAAAAAAGTTATTTTAAATTGTAATAATATTTAACAATATTATTATTTAATATAATAAAATATATAGCTTTAGTGAACATAAGAGACTTCTTTTCTTACTCCACATTTTGGTTTTAGCAATTTGTTAGTATACTTAAAGCAAAAAAAGGTGCAAATAGAGTGAGAAAACTTGATAACTTTGCAAAAGCAACTTTATCTTATTTTAATAATGTTTAGATATTTTACTGGCAAGTGAGACAAAAATACTGATTCAAAAACAGTGATATGAAAGATGTGGAATGATCATTTATCTCTTTTACTGACCCCTTTAAACTTAAGTTTTGCTGTGTTTATACCACAACTGATATCAAATGCACCTGCCGGAGACCAAAGATTGTGTTTACCATCTGCATATGTCAGCCAGGTGGAGCACAGACATTGACTGCAGCTCTGTTTACCATTGTGGAGACAACACAGGGTTCCATTTGTCTGTTTAGCTTTGTAAGAAGCTATAGGGGGATGAGTAATTGTTGGAGAGCAAGAACAGAAAAGGAAAGACAATCTCTCTCAGTTCAATACATTTAAATGCTAATTTATAATCAAGCGGTGAGCATCCTATATTGTGACTTGCCATGTCAACAGCAGAATTTTCTCATATTTTTTCTGCTTCTTTCTCACTATATCTGTTGTCTTCCTCCCTGGTAAGCCCCGGCTAAGCAGACATCCCAACAACAATCAGAGGGTGGGCAACCCAACTGCCACGGCTCATGTAAAATCACAACAGTTGCCAGGCAACACTGTTCCCTCCACAGCAGGAGCAGGAGTCCAATAGAACATTAATGATTCTGAGCGCAAACGCACTGGACTGCTGGTGTCTGCCAGATATTTTACTATGGTTAATTACGCAAGAAAGTGACTGCAAAAACACAGAATTTTGCAGTTAATCTGGGCTAATGAAGAGGCTAATGGAGGCTCAATCTTAGGCCCAATCTGGAGCCTGTGGATGACTGTGATTGGATCCTTGTGGATCTGTACAGTGTCACCTTTAAATTTCCAGCAAGTTTAATTACTTGAATGACTCCTATCTGTCCATGTCCATGTATGGTTTGTGTTTGACATCCTAATTTATCTTGTTGGTTGTTCACACGTCAACAGTTATAATAATTTAAGATGTATTCTGCTGGCAGTTTTCCCTTGCACTCAACCCTGGTCTTTAGGTCCCAGCTAACAGATTCAATGATTGTATGTATTTTGGTCTGTTGTGGTCTTGATTACATAAAACATGATATTTTTTCAAATTTCTTAATTTTATTTAGCTTTTTACTAAAACGAAAAATTCGGTCATTATTTATGCTAGGCTCATGTCGTTCCAAACCTGTATGACTCTGGAATGGAAAAATAAGATATTTTGAACATAAATAAATAAATAAATAATAATAATAATTATTATTATTATTATTATATACACGCACACACATATTAAATATATATATAATCTCCATATAATGAAAATGAGTGGGGTCCAAAACAACATGATTGGACCCCATTAACATTCACTGTATTCAAAATAAAAAATTGTGTGTTTTATTCTGATAGCTGTACCTGATGCATGTATAATTTGGCCTACACTCTTAAAAATAAAGTTTCCAAAAGGGGGTTTTCATAATACATAATGCAATACAATAACCATTTTTGGTTCCCTAAAGAACCTTTTAGTAAACAGGTCTTCAAAAAAAAAAACATTTCTGTTCATTTTAATAATCTAAAGAACCTTTTTTTCTATTATAAAGAACCTTTTGTTGAATGGAAAGGTTCCATTGGATGTTAAACGTTCCTCATGGAACCATCCTTTACTTTTAAGATTTGAATTCTAACTTCTCTTTTCATAATCAACATAGACTGTAGAATCCTTTAATGAGAAGCATAATCTAGGTATTAATAAATCTTTGTGCATTTGGAATGGTTTAGATAATGGGAGAATGATTTATTGAGGATGATATGGATTCATCCTTTAGTTCTGCAACATCTCCAGCCCACCTACTGTGATCACCTTTGTTCTCTGGCTCTGAGATTTATGGAACAGTTCAAAAGCTCCGGCTGGAGAGAGAATCTGAGAGAAAAAAGAATGACAGAGCCTGATGCCATTTTGCAGGTCTTCAGTGTCAATGGTTATTGCAAGAACACGAATTTAGCCAACACACTCTCATCCAAATGGACACAGTAACCTTCCAAATCAACCCAGGTCATGCTATTAATATAGCCATAAACTAATGCAGAACATGTCAGCAGAGAAGACAAGCTCAGTATCAGTAGAGCTAAAATATCAGTATCAGATATCAGTAAGAGCTAAAATGTGTCTAGCAAATTAGTCACTGTGGCATATTCTGGGAAGTTGCAGAATTATTTATTTACTGGCATTTTCATGTTGATGCATTCAGAGAATTTTATTCATCTTAAGTTGTTTTAAGGTACATTTTTTATGAGACAAAAGGAGAAAGGCAATTAATTAAAGACTGGACTAATGCAATTACGTATGCAAGAGTGCAATTACAAACCTGCAGGAGCGTCAGTGTCAGCCGGTCGCCGACTCTCCTGGGTTTTCATGGAAGAAAATTACGCTTATTCTCTTGCATAAGAGATTATTACTTTGTTTGTTACAAGTGTCAAATTTCTATCTTTACTATTGATGTAATATTTAAAGGCTCTATATTGTATATTGCTCTGTGTAATTGTTCACAAATAACTCTTTACATTAAGGTTCCATTTGTTAACATGAGTTATTACGAACTAACAATGAAAATTACATCTGAATCATTTATTAATCTTAGTTAATGGTCATTTAAACATTTACTAAAACATTATCAAAATAAAAAGTTGTATTTGTGAATATTATTTAATGGACCTGAGCTAACATGAACTAACAATGAACAGTTGTAGTTATTTAACATTAACAAAAATTAATAACAAAATGTATTGCTCATTGTTGGTTAATGCTAGTCAATACATTAAGTAATAGAACCTTGTTTTAAAGAGTAATCATAATGGATTCGAACGATAAAATTGTAGATTTCAAAGTGTTACATTAAATCAAACAAAAGCATAAAGGAAATATGTACAGGTATTTATTCTTTGATTATCATTCCCTTTCCCCTGCAGTTGCCTCATGCCTGTCAGAAAATCCATTTTAAGATGTTTACTCTGTGTTTTTGGAATATGATAGGTGGCTTAGCTGGTATAAGCTGGTCATAATCATGTTCTAAAATCTACCAGATAGATAGATAGATACTTTATTGTTTGTAGCATTCTATAGGCTCTTACTGAACTGAAAAACATTGACCAGAAATAATAAGCTACTTTCATAAATGTATAATTAGGTGCTCAGTTGTAAATAATGTTACAATTTTAAAAATGATGTAAATCAAAACGAAAGTATAATAAAAAGAAATACGGACCTCTTCTCGGATGATTCGCCTATGCGGACACAGACTCAAGTGCTCCAGTAGGAGCCGTTGATTGTGTGTGTGTGTGTGTGTGTGTGCAGGTCTGCTCATGCGCCCATGAAGAGATGCTGCTGCTGCTGCTGATCAGAGGTGTGTGCGCTGCGACGGGCTTATTTACACCCGTTCAGTCACACTGGATCATAGAAAAGCTCTAGCGCTCCTTAGGAAATGGACTTTCTAAAGGGATTAATGCGTCTCTGCGGTGATACATCTCAAGGTTAGTACTGAGATATGGCGTTGAATCTATTTCTTTACGTAATGTTATATTCTTGCTCGTGTTAAGCTCTATCGGTGCGTCTGCCATCGTTTGTCGCTCTGCGCTCGTGCTGAAACGTTTTATTTTCAGTCTCTCTGAAGACTACACGTCTACACCTCTTCCTCGTCGTTTCCGTTTTGTCTTTTCTCTTTAAATGGGAAAGACGTGTCACACTGATGTGATGTGAAACGGATAAAAAGAGACAATGTTTTACTTTATAATTAGCTTACAATTTTTAAGCACAACAGTATGCAGGTAATATATTTATGCGTTTTTTGGGACTGCAATTTTTATCCCATTCAAATCACGGGTTACTGCATGCATACGGTAAATAGTGCAATGCTACACCATGTTGAGTCCGTAGAGGCCATAACACAGAGATACAGTGAGTTTTGCCACTTTTTTTGAGCGTTTATCAAATTAGCTTTTTTTCCCCTTTGACATGCAAACACATAAAAAAATAAATAAATAAAATAAATAAAACACATATTGTTGTTGTACAGTTAGATACCGCCATGTGGGCCACATACTCTTCTCTGAATGAAAAGGTCAGAGCTTGTTTGTAAACCTATGCGCATGCATAATGTTGTGCGCGTTGAGCGCGCGCTTGTCCTGACAATAATGTTTTCACATTCATGCATGTTACCTTAACTCGTTCAGACACGACTTATGTTCCAAAGGACACAAAACGTGACCGTGCTTTATTTCTACTTAAAAACCTTGTTAGAAAATCCAGTGTAGTTGATGGTCATTAGTTGGCGCAAGCTATAGCTCGTTGACCAGCTACCATGTAACAGACTAGTTTGATGACCTTATGAATAGATGGTAGCTGGTTTGTTTTCTGGTCCAAAACGCTCTGCCAGCTTTTACCAGCTAACATGTCCTAAAAGAGTTTTTAACCAACCATAAACTTGACCATTGAACAATAGATAATGAACAATAGATAGTTGTGAAGGGCTCAGGTTATATTCTGTTTTATCAGAGTAAGATGAACTAATAAATATAATTTATATAGCTAAGTATGTACGTTTACAGGGATGGTCATTTGGATCGTCCTCTCAAACCTGCACTTTTTCGGTGACCAGCTCAGGGGTTTTTTCTTCACAGTGCCACACCACCTACAACTTTGGTATGTTTTCAGACAGACATAAAAGTTGAATATCAACATAAGCAATGTTGTGCAATAGACGTCTATTATTTTTACAGGCAAATGGCTATGAAAACGAAATATCCATATAATAACTTTTATCAGGCATGGTCTGCAGATAATCTGACTCAAATATAACTAAATTATAAATACAATAGAATTATGTTATTAGTTTCTGCCGCCACAGGCCACAGTTTCAAAACAACATTTTGTCAAAAAGCAGCAATGAATTAAGCATTTACTTTGTAACAATCTAAAAATTCTGTGATTTGATTACTAAATGACAGAAAAAGAAAGAAATGGACAGTGGGGTCTAAACAGGTTACCAATTTGAAACAATTTGTTTCTTGAAACAGTACATAAAACATAAATCGCTTTTGTTTCTTTTTGTCTTGTAGCTCTAAATTTGCATCATCAGTCCCACAAGCTGTTCCTCCAAACAGTGTGGAAAAGATTTACGCAGCCACATTACTGAAGAGGATTCTATGACTTATGCTACATCCACAATTTAACTGCGTGTCAGAGATGCCCCCTTCCATAAAGTGGTGCATTAGGTGGGCTGTCTGCTTGTCCTTTATTCTCGCACTGATCCCCAGGTCCAGAGGATCGATGCTGAATTGTCACAAAATGTGCATATGCGCCAGTAACATCGTCAGCTGCTCCAAGATGAACTTGACGATGGTTCCGTCCGAGCTGCCCAACTACACAGCTGTGCTTGACATTAGTTTTAATGAGATAACCGGACTACGCGCACAATGGACCAAGCACAAACTTCCCAACCTCCACAACCTCTTGCTCAGCCACAATGGTTTGTTGTTCATCTCTTCTGAGGCGTTCATTTTCGTAAAGCAATTGCGCTACTTGGATCTGTCATCGAATAAACTGCGACAGCTAGACGAGTTCATTTTCGAGCCACTGCTACATCTGGAGGTTCTGCTGCTCTACAACAACCAGATCTCGCAGATCGACCGCACAGCCTTCTCGGGCCTCAGTGGCCTGCAGAAGCTCTACCTGAGCCAGAACCAGGTGTCCCGCTTCCCCCTGGAGCTCGTCAAGGACAAGAGCCGACAGGACAAGCTGAGCCTGTTGGACTTGTCTTCCAATCGGATCAAGGTTCTCCCCATTCAAGACCTCCAGGCGCTGCCGGCCTGGATCAAGAATGGGCTGTACTTCCACAACAACACCCTCATCTGCGACTGCGAGCTGTACAGTTTGATGGCTCATTGGTATATCCGACGGCTCAATTCAGCTGTGGACTTCAAGGACGAACACACCTGTGTGCATCCCGGCCCAGATAAACGGGTGCTGCGTTTGTACGGTCTCAACACTCATATGAACTGCAGCACGTTTAAAGAAACCGACCAAGAGGCTTATTTGGAGCAGACGCTCACCCTCAGCTGTGATACCAAACAGCGGAAAATGTCCAAGACCTGGATGCTGCCTGGAAACATATTGGTGCCTCCTGACAGTAACCAGGGCGATACAAATAACGACAAGTTTGTGAAAAATGGCAACCTTGAGATAAAATCGATACGACCTGAGGACTCAGGTGTGTACACCTGCTTCGCCGTGAGTGAATACCTCAACGAAACGCTCTATGTGGTGGTCAAAGTCCACAACTTCACCCTCAACGGCAACGGCGAGACCCTCAACACTGCGTACACCACTCTGGTGGGCTGCTTGGCCAGCGTGGTCCTGGTTCTTATCTATCTGTACCTGACACCCTGCCGCTGCTTCTGCTGTCCAGACCAGGGCAAAAAGAACCAGCATGAAGACAGCATCCACTCCTCCATGCTCAGCGCCACCCCGACGCACGAGGATATGGCAACCAAAGCAGAGCTCAACAGGCACGTGGCCTTCATAGACCCCAAGGACCTGCAGGGACAGAATGGAAAGGTGAATCCTAACGGAGATGAAGAAGTGGATGAGGAGGCCATGCAGGGAAAAGGAAAGCGGAAGAAATCGGTGGCAGACTCTATTAGTTCGGCCTTTTCTGATACTCCCATTGTAGTCTGAGGGAGGATGTGTCTTTTTGGCTAGAGACAGTTCGTTGTTGTGGCTTTCCTGGACTAAGAGACTAGAGTACACAGTTTGCCATCCTCAGTGTTTGGCTGTTTCTGCAAAACCTTTCCAGCATTTTAATCTGTAGCACTTAAGTATATACTGTGAAAAGGTCTTGCCATATTAGTGGAACCTAAACTTGGAGTGTTTAGATGTTCCTGTGAGTTTAAGCCCACTAAGTGTGACTAGAGGTAGTCTGGGTAAACAACAAATGCAATTTGCGATTTCTCAATGATCAAGCTAGAAAGCTATAGGTTGAGACACTAGAACATTAATACATCCTCTATATAATCACATCATAAGCATGAGCTTTGCAGACTGCTAATGTTAAGAAGAATATAGCATAGAATGAAGCCCTTGTAGCTAATAATATTTACCACAATTTACGCTAACTGACCAACCATACCACTTTATGTAAAGCCATATGCAGTTGGTCATTGCAGGAGAAAGCAATTATAGCATTTGAGAGGACAGTCACAAGAAAATGATGAAAAAGTATTCGTTTCTGTGGAACATGTTTTTTTTTTTAGCTCAAACCATCATCATTTTCTGAATGATTTAGAAAATCAAGTTTGAAGTTTGAACGCAGGTCAAAACACAGTGATTAGCCGAATCCCCCTATGTTCTGAGATTCTAAATTATTACTGCAGGCATACAGCAGTGATCTCTCAAAGACCAATATTATATTTGCATATACAATGCCATAGGAATCTAAAGAGACTGCTATGAATCATAATGTAATGCGTAAAGCTTGTTGGCCTGTGCTCAAGGTAGATGACTAGATGCATTCCAACCAGATATCAACATTACGCATTTTGATTACAACGTTATTGTCCTGGTGGACTCGAAGGGCATGATAGGACTGTTCTAGAACGCCAGTCAATGATGTTAGAGAACCAGACGTGGATTTAGAACGTCCAGCGCAGCGCACACAGTCTCTAGAACCCTTAATTCTGGGAATGCCACTTCCATTCTTGTGTTCCTGGAAAGAAATCGGGACGCATCTCACGTGTTAACCATAACCACATATTTATAACAGGGTCTGGTTGGGATCAGCGGGAGCAATCTTAGTTTCCTCCGTCCTCTTTCCCTAGTAACATCGTAATTACATCCTGTTTTGCGAGCAAGGGAGTGGGTGACGCTATTAAATGTTTGATAGGTGGATGAACTCACAAACAGTATTATCTCAGGGAGAGGGAATGACAGATAATAGCAGCTATGGCAGACTGCAGTCATGGGCAGTTACGGTCTCTCCAGCTGCAATCCCAAATTAGTGTGGAGGGGAGGGAAAGGCCTTACCATCACGAGCGCTGTGGGAGGAGGCCTGAGATCTCTGCGGTCTGTTCACAAAGAGACAGAAAAGCCAAGTGCTCCCCCTAAAACCTCATCCAGCAGCTTTTCGCCCGTCGTGTGTGTTCTTCTGAACTGTGTGTCCTTGGCTATTTCGCTATGAGCAGAGTTCCACTGTTCATTACTCAGCATTTGACAGTACATCTGTGCTTTTGTATGTGCAAACAGTGTTTGTTTTTACAGTGTTTATGAGATCGTGTCATTTTAGGTAGCTTTTTTCCCCTTGAGGTTCCAAAGAGACTCAGTTAATTCCTTGTTCTTCTGTGTATTGTTGTTCCTATACAGTTGTCTAGATTCCACTTGTGACTATAGGATATTGGTAAACCTATTTTAATGACACTGACTGTAAAGGTCTTTCTCTGTCATGTATTTTGAAATTTGATCATCTATTTGTCTATTATATGTTGTTATTTAGACAAAGAAATTGAGATTTTTTTAATGTCAGTAAATTAAATCTCAAGAATAATCACAGACTGCATCAAAGTACCAAAACTCTGTTGCATTAATTAGAAATGTAAACGTGGATTGCTGTTCCCAGCCCGCTTTCCTTTTGTAATAAGATGTATTTCTAAGCAAAACGTTATATTCAACAAGAAAAAAAGTGGGGAAAAAATTGATTGAATTGATTGAAACGTGGCGTTATTCTGATAAATATTCTAAAGACAAACCATTTTTCCTTGAAATAACAGAAGAATTGTTCATAATAAATCTATTAAATAAGTAAATAGGGTGCATTTTGATTACATGTTGACTTGCAGCCTCTCAGAATGTCAAAATAGCTAATTTTAGAAGCACTTGTGCAAATGTTAACTCTCAAAACTGTCCTATATTAGCCTTAGTATCGATTTATAGGCCCGTTCACACCAAGGACGATAACTATAATAGTAACTACAAAGCTGTAATAATCATTCTATTTCTTTACGAATAGTGGAGTCCAAACCACAACTTTAACTATAAGGGCAACTATATGGTTGGAATCCCTTTCACAATTTTTTTTTCCAGCTGACGAACAATAATTTTTTTTAAAAATCAGAATCCACACAACTTTAAGAAACTTGAGCATTTAAAGTGGCAAATTACATAACTGCAGCGCATACCTACAGTACAATAAACATAACATTTTGTTGATGTGGTTTTGTTGGACATGGAATAAATTTATTGTTACAGTTATCCTTTTTGATATGAACGATCTTAAAAACTTGGTGCTAGAGATACGTGGTACTAGAGACTAGATCAAGTCCCTTCTGTTCTTTACTAACATTTAGACTCCTAAAACTCTAGATTAACAGAATTCAAAACAAGCACCAATATCAACAGCATTTGATAGTTAGTCTAGTCTATTAAGTCTAGATTTGAGTACATAAAAAGTAGACTAACACAAATCTACCAGAATCTCAGAAATGTAGACATATCTGTACCAATTCTTAGTAAGCAAGCATCCTGACATACATACATACTGCTAAAAAAAACAACTGTGTGAACCCTAATTGGTTTGAGATCTAAAGTCTCAGCCATCATTACTAGCCTCTGAAAGCGAGAACAGAAATGCTGTCAGGTCCAGTATTAGAGTTAGAGGCCTTACTGTAAAAGCTTATTTAGTCTGAATGTCAAAAATGAGACTGATGAGTGCCGGGTGGTGTAGTTCCCTATCCTAGAGTGAAACGGTCTGCTTGAGGATAATCCAGAAAATGATTCTGGACCAGCAGTCCTCAGTAGCCCCTCACTGCAGAACACAAGATCCAGGGGGCGTGGTTGGATCCACATCTAGGGGGTGGGGATTGGTAGGTTTAGGGGTGGAGATGGGTGGATTTAGGGATCAGGGGGTGGAGACGGGTAGGTTTAGGTAAGGGTGGGTTTAGGGATCAGGGGGTGGAGACGGGTAGGTTTAGGTATATGTAAGGTGGGAGGAGTTGGATCTGATCCAACCACGCCCCCTGGATCTTGTGTTCTGCAGTGAGGACCATCTCGCAGTCCTCCCACATGGAAGTGTGTCTATGAGAAGTATTACTTATCAATAATATAAAAGCAAATAAAAAAATTGACTGTTTTTATGCTTCTTGTCCAATCATACAGACATGTTAGTTTACATTTAGCTGACACTATTTTCCTGAAGCAACCTCTATGACAGCCTCAATGACATCTGTAAACTAAGCTTTGCAGCATCTACGCCGAAGTGCATGACCACTGTTCATCCAGCGCAACAAACAAAAAAATGACCCTTTGGCCTGCCTGTGTAAGATGGAGGTATCTAGCTGTTTAGTGTCATCTAGTGGTAAGATGATGCAGCTCAATTCATAAAGAGCAAAACAACAGAAATGTGTTGGCATATTTATTTCAGAGTCCATTATCTGACAGTCTGTTTAGCAGCATAAGGAAGGTCTTGAGGTATTTCTATATTCATTTGCAGGTCATTCACAAACATTCATTCACATAGAAATCCAGTATACAAAACACAGACACACACACACATACATACATACATACATACATATAGATACGTCCTCCTACAGTGAACTTCAAGCATCCTGTGCATAAAGTCTGTGGCAAATACATGGCAGTAAGCCTGTGCTTCTGGAGGAGTTTAAGGCAGACTCCCTCAGTGTAGAAGCTTTGGCTGTTGGGAGAAAAGAAGAGCAGATGGTCAGGAAAAGGATCTAAATTCAGAGCTGAGACTCAACCACTGTACTGAATTAAACCTTGATGATTCATCTTAACTGACTATCAATCATACTTGTTGTTTTATCTAACACTGTGTATTTTTAATCTTTGAAGTGTTTAAAAAGTAAGCTTTGCCAGTTTTCTTCAATAACTTTAATGTATTTCCTTTCCCTAACAAGAGGATTATATGTCTACCAAGAGCTGCTTGAGCTTCCAGACCCCTACACATTGGTCGTATTAGGTTATTTAACACATCACTTCAAACAAACATTAAAAGGTGCACTAAGTATTTTCAGTATTGAAGTGTTTTATGCCTAAACAAATCAATAGTACTTTTAAATGATGTGCACTCACATTAGATGAATCATATCATTAGCCTAATAGCCTATAAAAGCTTTTTAATTTTGGGTAGTTAAAAAAAACAACAAATATTTATAAGTACTAAAAAAAGAAGAAAAAAAATTGGATTTTGTAAAGGAAAATGTATAGTTTTAGATACTGTAACTGGCTATCATTTCTTCAGTTTTTCACTGCATGCACAAAAATTATGATAATATAGAAATGTAACAAATATTTTACATAAGATTATAAAATGCTGTTTAAAGTATGATTTAAAATGTTTTCAATACATTTAGAATCAACAACATAGTATAGTGTAATAGTTCACCCAAAAATGAACATTTTGTCATCATTTACGTTCCAAACCTGTATATGTTTCTTTTCTTACATTGAACACAAAAGAAGATATTTTGAAGAATTTTGAAAAACCAAACAGTTGTACCAAACAGAAATACTATGGAAGTCAATGGGGACCATTAACTCTCTGATTACCAGCATTCTTCAAAATATCTTCTTTTATATTTGACACAAGAAAAAAAACTCATACAGGTTTGGAATGACAGGAGGGTTAGTAAATGATTACTATTTTCATTTTTGGGTGAACTATCCCTTTAAAACGGTTTTTGGAAATTGAAATAAAAACCTAAAATAAAATAAAGATATTAGATTAAAAATGTCAATGTAAAAAAAACTTGCCTTGGCAACTGACTGAAATATGTTTAAGTATTAAAATTACTAGAACTGAAAATAAAATATTAATATAATATAAAATACAATATTTAACAAACTCTAATAAGCACATAACAAAAATGACTAAAGCTTAAGCTAAATTTAAAATGAAAACAGACATTTTAAAAAATAAAACCTAATTCAAAATATTAACAAATAGTATAGTATTTAAAATAATACAATTTTAAATTAACTACCATATTTTTTCTATGAATCATGTTTAGCGGCATCTTTTAAGACAAAGGAACCCAATTATATAATGAGAGATGCTTTTTTAATATTAGATTTCATTTATTGAGATTCTTTTGAGCTTTAAACCACTGAAGAAAAATTTAAATGAATAAAAAAAATTAGTTAAAGGTGACATATCATGAAAATCTGACTTTTCCAATTCGCTCCCTTAGTGACGTGGCAAAGGGATCTCATTATAATATTACCGCCCCTTAATCTGTAAGTTTACACCCACGGCGCCGTTATTGTGTTTTCGCAAGCGACAACGGTGTACCAGTTCTAATGCCATGGTGAAAGTTTGAGCAAAACGTGCTAACTGTTCTGTCTTTGGCTGCACAGATGAGCACAGAACACTGTTTAGAGTCCCAGCCTCAGAGGAGACAAGAGAGCAGTGGATTTATTGATTTATTTACTGTATATTGCTTCTGCCACAGATCTAAAATAAACATGCGATTTATTTCCCAGCTGTTTACCTTCACGGACATAACCGACTGTTTTTTGTAAGTCGTGTGTTTTTAACGTAAACTTGTGTGTGAAAGAGAACTTAGTTTAGTACTCACATGCTGGAACAGCCGCTTTCTTTCCGTGTGCTTAGGATGTGTGCGCTCAAAAAAACGTATATCTGAAGTTTAAACTCATATGGTTTAAAACGCATGATTTCAGCGCGATAAACATGATAATCAGAACTAAAACAGATGTTTTTAGTAGGTACGAGCTGTAATGACGCAGCTCTATTCTGGAAAAGGGGACAGGGAGCAGCAGCTCATTTGCATTTAAAGACACAGGCCCGAAAAACATTGTGTTTCTGCTTCCACTCAAAATAGGCATTTTCAAAATTATATAATACATGATCTGTGGAGTATTTTGAGCTGAAACTCCACAGACACATTCTGGGGACACCAGAGACTTATATTACATATTGTAAAAAGGGGGTATAATAGGTCTCCTTTAAACTACTGATAAATGTGTTAAACATACCTTCTGTGCACCTAGTTTCTTTGGCAGACTGTGGGAGGTTGATGCTGGTCTGCCATCCCCACCCCAGGACACCAGGCTGGAGTGAGTTTGGGAGAAAGAGGAGAGGATATTGGGTTTAGGGGCACATGAATTGTTTTTGGGGGGAGAGGCGTCGCAGGTCTTACGTTTCCTGCCAGGACCTTTATGCTCGTACCCAACAGCCCTTTGATTGAGCCCTGAGGGCCCTCCCTTATCAGACTCTGGGGAGGGAGTGGGGGAGATGTGGGCGGGGCTTTGCTTAATCAGCCCCTTCATTTCAGGTGGGTGTGTTCTGCTGCCAAGTGAGTGTGCGCCATTAAATGGTCCATGCGGTGAGGAAATCGTAGTTCTGTTCAAGGAGGACTGGCGGTCTTTGTGGTGGGGGAGAAATAGGATTTTGGACTGTCCAGGCGAGTCCTTGTCCTCTTTGGGTGATTTCCGGTGCTTGTTGGCTGTGGGACTTTCCTGAAGCTCCCTGAAACCCGCTTGCAAAGCCTGTTTGCTGGTCCGACCCGCAGGGTTACGGTGCCGGGCGGGGCCTGAGGTCGTCTGGGCTTTCGTTGGTAGTTTGGAGGCGGCTGTTAGGTTAGTGGGCTCTGATTGTCCTGAGGTGCTTGTCCTGAGAGTGGAGGCGCTGCAGATGGGTACT